ACGTCGACGCCAGGTTGGCCATGCTGGTCAGCGTGTCTGGATGCTCCTCCCTAAGCACCCTCTTTCTTATCTCTATCACTTGCACGTCCAGCTCTTCGGCCTCCTTCCACCGCCCTTAATTCCAAAACGTCGACGCCAGGTTGGCCATGCTGGTCAGCGTGTCTAGATGCTCTACCCTAAGCACCCTTAAACTTGTCTCTATTACTTGCACGTCCAGCTCTTTGGCCTTCTTCCACCGCCCCGCAAGGTTTACTGCTAGCCCTACTATTGCCATACTGCTTAATATATCCTTGTGCTCTTTACTAAGCACTTTTATCCGAACCTTTATTAACCTTATTAACAGTTTCTTAGTATTACTTAGACTTCCTTTTTGCCACGTATACCAGGCCGCGTTATACAACAATAGAGCCTACTGTTTAAGAGATTCCTCGGACTTAGGCGGCTGCAATAGCGCCAACTTAGCATGCGGAAAGAGCGCCTGATATTAGGCCCAGTTCTTATGTTCCCCGGTTGGAAATACTGCGCAAAAATTGTTAATATACTGCTGCTTCCACATTTCTAGCTAGTTCTGCCCTTCCAGCCACTTCTGCGTGGCGAGCTGCACAAGCCTGTGCATATTAAACGTGGCTGTATTAGTAGTAAGCGCAATAAATAAGTAGTTCCTTAGCGTAAGAATATCCTCTTTAAATCCGTTGTTAATGCTAGTTTCCGACTCGCTATTATTACTATTGCTGTTACTCGTTTTGCTGTCTATATTAATAGCGTCTGCGTCCCCGTGTCTATTCCCCGTCCTACCTTAATTGCGAATAAGTGTTTCGGGAATCCCCTGCCGGTTAAAAAAGCTTATTAATAATAATAGGTCTGCCGCCGACCGCCTTACCTTAAGTATATAATTAAACGAGATTTGCTATATTATAAGAATAGAGTTCTTAGCCTTATTATCTTTCTAAAGACAGCCTCTATTATAGTCTAATAGGCTTATCTTCTTTCTATTACTCTTATAGAACTACTTTAGGTACTGCTGCACTAAATACCTTAGTACTTATTATTAGATATACGCCGCCGCCTGTATAAGAGCGAGTAGCATAAATTTAAGGGCGTCTGCTAGCTTAGTAGTGCTGTTTTTATTAACTTTCTCTCCTAATTTCTTCTATAGAAAAGCTTGCGCGCCGGCATTATCTATAGGCTCGATAGGTATAATATCTCTTTCCTCTACTAGCTGCAACGCCACGCTCCTTATCTAACTAGTAACTAGAACTAAGCTGTTCTTACTCTAGGGCAGGTACAATAAGAAGTAATACAGGGGAGTGCTATCTCCGCCGCTTACTTATATTTTCTATCTATTACTTACTAGTAGAGAGAAAGCAGCAGTATTATTAGTATTATTAAGGACTAGCAGCCACCTTCCGTTTATCTTGTTGCGGAGCCAGTTATAGACTAGCTTAAACACATCTGCTTATAGGTCTTTACAGCCAGCCAGCTTAACTTAGTCCGCAATATCTTAGTAGCCTTATTTAATGCGGGCCGTATTGCTGGCGTGCACCTAGAATACCTATATCTCCGGCGATTAATCTATAGCTTAATAGCAGTACTTAATAGTAAGCTGCAACTTCCTATACTTATATTAGGTGCAAGCACTGGCCTAAGTATCCTTTTAGCTTACTCTATACCGCCCAGGCCCACCAGCGCTATATAAAATGCCGGCGCGGAGCACGTTTTATATATCTAATTAAGCAGTGTTCTGCAATTAACAAAGTCCGGGTTACGGTAAAAGGGGACGGCGCAGGAAGGGCTCGGCGGGGTTTCTACTTACTCTGGTGTGGGATAGCCGTTAGCGCAGTTAAGCATTGGCCGTTGTTTAACCTACTAGGCGGTGGATAATAGTAAACAGGGCTATTAATAATACCCGCCTAAAAGCCGTAGTTGCAGTTTCTAAAGGCAATTATTGCACTAGGTTGTATTATATCGAATATATAGACAGAGTGGCCTTACGCGGTGTAGGAGGTTTACAGGACTATCTTAAGAGACGCGGCAACTTAGCTAAGCCTTAATTTCAGCCTCCCCTGTTATACTTAGGATATTTATATGCAGCGGATAATCTATTTAGCTATATATCTTTTATACTCTAAGTACTTATCTAGGAAAAGATTATATAATAAATCTAGCTAGCAGAGACCCTAACTAAATTACCTTCTTATACTGTGGCAAATTATGTGTGCAGGCTAATAGTGCCTAACTGGATACATAAGGTGGGGTACTAAAACGCCGATTAGCCACACGCTCACAGCCATAAGCTTGGCTTGCTAGATGACATATGTAAATTACACTATAATACTTATGTCAGACTTGCGGGGTTGTTTTGCACTAGCTGTAATTAGTAAGTATTTCAATTAGAAGTACCGACCAGGGTGGCGACCTTGCATGAATTTGCGTGCGATAGCCGCCACAAGGCTGACGACGACTTCCTAGTATGGTGGTGAGGCTCTAAGGCTTAGAAGGCCATTATATGAGTAGCAGAAGTGATAGGAGCTTGATAGTGGTGCTGTGGCGATAGAATCCGGTTACAACCATGAAAAGAGTCTCTCCGCAAATCAGGCGCGAAGGCGACAACGCAACTGTAAATTTTAGATGCAAGGAGTCCTAGATGTTCAGAAATGGCTACAGCATGTAACGTGTATAGGATTAGGACAGAGATCAACGTGTGCACAAAACTTAATTTGTTTGAAGTTCAAGTACCCCTCATATTTCTCGGAGCGGAGTGTTTCTCGACCTGCAGTGATGGACGTTACCACTCCTCATCCACCATGGTTTCATCCGAGCATGTCGAAGATGGAGCGGGCGGGGGGACACGCTGTTCAAGCATCGATGGTTGAAACGCTGAGCTCAGGAGGGCACGCATATCAGGTTCGCTATCCTCATTCTTGTGCGTTTCTTCATTATCGGAGACATCAGTGTTGGAATCATCAGTTTCGGGCCCGTCAGTCTCAGATCCATCAAACGATACATGACCAGGCGTATCAGTCTCACCAGTAATAACGTTCAGCCCCTTCTCCTTCGAGACCAGGAGGTTATCAGCCCAGTCTTTCGCGGCAGCGATTGCTTGCTCCGGCGTGCGGTTCATGGTTAGGAAGGTCTGAACTTCGGCTGGCGTGAATTTTAGCTCTGGAATATGTGATGAGAAGGCTTCGGCTTGCTCATCGAGTTCCGTTGTCTGTTCGTTGACGGTTACGCCGTTGGCTGGTGTCTCGATCATGTACATGCGCTTGAAGATGCTCGCAGTGACCTTGCGGGAGACAGGGCCGAAGAAGACTTGCATGTCGATGCGGCCAGGGCGGATGAGCGCACGATCGAGCGATTCCGGTGTATTGGTCGTCATGATCAGCACGCGGCCTTCTCCAGAATTCGGTCCGTCGATGACGTTCAGCAAACAGCTAAGGCTGATACCAGCCCTTCCTAGCTGATGTGCTTGTCCAGCGAATAGCGAACTCGTCTGCACCGCCTGTGTCCAGGGATTTGGTTGTTCGGCGTTCGCTTCCTTCATTTCCTCGCGCTGAATGCCAGCAGAATCGATGTCTTCAAGGAGGATGATACAGCGTTTGGGAAGTTGGCGGAATAGGGTGTCGAGGGTATGCTCGTTCATATTCCGGCTTAGGCTAGTTGAGAAGAGCGGAAGGTGGAAATAGCTGGCTAATCCTTTGGCCATTGACGTCTTTCCGACACCTGGTTGACCGTGAAACAGGTAGCCTCTACTATACGGAATGCCACGATCAGAGTACCATTTTGCGCGGTGTGGATGCAGATATTCGGTGATATCGGCGACGAGAGCGGTTTTGAGTTTCTCGTCGAGGTCGATGGTGGATAGAGGACGGCCGGGCCGTTCGCGCGGAACACCCCAACTCGTAGACATCTCCGCGCGGTCATAAAAAATGGTCGTATTGCGGATGCTTGCTTCATGCTGCTTCTTGCACTCATGTAGGAAGCTCCGCAAAGGTGTTAGAGAGAGACCAAGAGTCATGAGAACTAACGTGCACTCTGGTTCGCCGCTCGGCGCTTGAATGACCTCGCCTCTAGAGCTGGTGATCGTTTGGATAGGTTGGTGGGACCTAGTCGTGTAGTAGAAGAGACGGTGGCGTTGCCAGAAGAAGCGAGAGGCCGGGAGTTTGTAGGAGACCTCGCGCATGTCTTTCATCTTGGCAGCTATAACGTACCCATGTTCATCTTCCTCCTGGTCGTCAAGATATTCATCATCGTCTTCGTTAAGAACTTCGACGTGGCGATCGTGCGAGAGCGGAAGGTTTTGCTTCATCCATGACTTGACGTGGCGCTGAGCCACATTTGTGTGTGGGATCGAGATCGTGGATGTGAACCAGCTAAAGAAGAAGGGTTTTAGGTAGCACCAGCCTACGATAGTGCCTTGGACGACACCAGCGAAGACAAAGATCTTCAAGATGGGTGACCGGATATCGAATCGGAAGGCGCGGAGGGTCATGACCGAAATAAGGCGGTAAAGGGGGCTAAAGATTGCAGGAATCTCGGAGGGGACCGAGATGGCGGCCAGAGATGCGAATTCGGATACGCCAGCGTCATTGCCAGCGTCATATCGAAGAAGCTGGCTCGGGAAGATCTTTTCGAAAGCGGTGCCTAGACGAGGATTGAGAAGCATGTTCGGGAACATGGTGGTGATTGGAAAGCTAGGGATGTGTGCGGAGCGATCCAAGACGTGTGTGGCTGGGTTATTTTCCAAAATGTGGTCTGCTGGTTCTGAAAACAGTTGCAGTAGAACACGATTCTAGAAAACTCGTGACTAAAGCCAAAAAGGGAGATTCTCCGAAATATATATCCACGTATTGTAAGCCCACTATGAAGGGGCAACCTATAGACAATGTTGACCTGTAAATTACGACAATGAAACATGAGTAGACAATGTTCACTGGATACGTCGTGCTGGTCGATGGTAGGCATTGTGAAGGTACGACGACCAGTTAAGGCCTAGAGTCAGGCATTACGTCCTGATAACAAGTTCGATATCAACGACAATGGCTTGCAGACCTACCTTGAGAACCAAAGAAAGACTGTGCATGTTTCAATGCTCTCAACAGCACTGAATACATACACGCTTGAGAGGGTTCTCGAGACCAGAGAGTTGACATTACACAACTGTTCGACGAAATTCCTTCGTTGTTTGTTAGCTGACCCCGATCTGGGCGTTGTTGATTGTGGAAGAGGAAAGGGAGTCGAGAAGGCTACGAATCGTTGTTGATGCTGACTAATCAATGCACGTGACATTTGCCAACGTTTTATCAGTCATTTGTCCACCCTTGTGGGTAGCATCTGATTATGCATTAGCGAGGGATTTTTGGATTTATGTTTGTCAAGCATTGCTATCGAGTTCCTAGCGTAAAGTAGATTTGAGGCTGAGTAAGGCAGCATTGAGTGCTAAAAGCTTGGATCAAAAGGTTGGTTCAGGGAGTGGGCAAACGAGCAAAGTTCTCAAAAGAGACACCCCTCATGCAAAGAAAGAGCCTAATGCGAGTAACCGATGGTCACGGCGTGGGTATAAAGGGAATCCGGTACGCGGGTCGTGTCACGTGGGACAGGTCTCAAAGGTACTGGGACCCTTTCCCGAGTCCTGCGCTGGCGGCGAGCGGCAATAACAGAATTTTTATCGCTCGCAATTTGCTGCACACCAGACAAATTCTTTTGTGTAGTCAGAGAAAGTAAGTGTTGGCTGACCACGATGTTGTTGCTGAGCGGTGATTGGCTAAAATGAGCACGTGTACGACTCTGAGATTTCTGAGGCTGCGTTTTGACAGACAGGCACACTACTGGGCGACGGGATGGGGCTGGCGGCTTGGCGATGGCTTCTGGAAGGCGAGTTTCTTCTTCTGTCCACCTTCCCCTGTAGTGGGATAAGGCTGCAGGCCAAGGACGAAGTCTCATTGCCCAGACCGTGACGATGCCATGGCCGCTGTCATCACAACAAGCCTCTCTCTGGTGCTGGACATCTCTTGTCACTCTGTTCACGGCCTTAGCCCCCTTGGAAAACGGCTGTGGGAGCTTGTCTCAACGTTCTTCGCGATATCTAGAAGGCGACAAGCGACACCGAGTGGTGCGAAGGCTACACGAGGCGTCCCCACGACGCGGCGATGGATTCGAAACAGCGCCCGTGTCTGCCAGCACTGCACGCGGGCACGGCACACCAACACGGATGGAACGGCTGACGACAGGGGGCGTGGTTGAGAGCTGCAGCGCGACTGCTTGGATTCTGTCGCTGTCGAGTGACTCTGGCTCCACATCCACATCTGGGCAGACGACGGCGCCGCGTCTGGGCATGTCAATCCAGCAGCCTGGGTCGCCACGGTCATCCAAGAGCACGGCGTGATGTGTTATCCATCTGGCGCTTCGCCGTTAGTTCTGTAGCGCGAAGACGGCCTAGAGAGCCGGTCCACAGCCGGGCAGCCGGGCTCGTCAATCGATTCCGCGGCATCTCAAGATGCGTACTTGCGACCGAGGGTCCTGATAGCGTCGTGTCTGGGCGGCTTTGTGATAAGGCACCTGAGTGATGGGGCCAAGGGGGATGCTTGCTGCTGCTCCCAGGAATTGAGGCTGCTGCGTCCAGGCGGCCTTCTAGAAGCTGACCAGAAGCGCCAGGGCCGCCAAATTGCGCATTGGGAATCGGCCTCGTCCACGGCATGGGCAGATTCCTGGAGGCTTCCAACGGGGTCGTTCGTGGGTTTGGGGCTGCAGCCAGTGAGGGGTGCAGAGAATGAAGGGTCCCTGGCCAGCCCTGCAGCGATCCCGGGCCCTCGTCTCGTTAGCGCAAAACGTGGGCACCTCGCGCGCTGTGATTGGCCCAATGCAACGACACCTCAACATGGCCCTTCTTGACTGCCTGCTGCTTCGAGCCAGCGCCGAACTGGAGATGCAGCAAATGCGCCTCGGCACGCCGCCAACCCCCAGATGCACCCTCCGGCATGCCATCGACACCCTGCCCTGCCCTCGGCGGGCCCGCACGACAGGCCACGACCCAGAACACGCGCCTCTCATTGCTCCGTTGCGATTCTCGCCGCCAAGGGGTCGCGCTGCACGCTGTATATAGTGCGCCTGTGTCCCGCCGGGGCTGATGCTCCAGCAGCTCACACACGCGACAATCCCTCTCCCAGAAGCAAACTCCTTCAGCTTCTGCAGCAATGGCAGCCAAGACAGCCGGCGGCAACTCTGCCTTCCACAACTTCCACAACGACTTCGTCGATGTCGAGGACCCCAATGAGCGCCGTCGTCTCGCTCTCGCCGAAATCGACAAGGCGCCCTTTGGCTGGTACCATATCCGCGCCTGTCTCGTGGCCGGCACGGGTTTCTTCACCGATTCCTACGACATCTTCTGTGTCTCGCTCCTGACCATCATGTTGGGGGTTGTCTACAAGCACGACAACAAGGGCGTCCTCTTCACGCCCCAGGACACCGCCATCAAGGTCTCTACTTCGGCCGGAACCGTCATCGGCCAGCTAGGCTTCGGTGCGCTCGCTGATGTTGTTGGACGTAAGAAGATGTACGGTCTCGAGCTGATCCTCATCATCTTCGCGACTATCGCCCAGGCTCTCTGCGGTTCCGGTCCTGGTGCTTCGATTGTGGGCACCATCATCTTCTGGCGAGTTCTTATGGGCATGGGTGAGCATTTCAACCTCCAATTCGTCTTCACAGCTAACCCTCCGAAGGAATTGGTGGCGACTACCCCCTATCTTCCATCATCACCTCCGAATTCGCGACCACCAAGTGGCGCGGTGCCATGATGGGATCCGTCTTCGCTATGCAGGGTTTCGGCCAGCTCGGTGGTGCCTTGGTCATGCTGTGCCTCGTCGCCGGCTTCAAAGGCTCTCTCGAGTCTGCCACATCCTACGCCACTTGCTCCCCAGGCTCCGTGTGCGCTCTTGCGGTTGACAAGATGTGGCGTGCTCTCATCGGTCCGCACTCATCCATTTCCCCCTCCCTAGTAAACCTAACAATCCCCAGGTTTGGGCGTCGTCCCCGCCACCATCGCCCTCTACTACCGTCTCACCATCCCCGAGACCCCCCGCTACACCTTCGACGTCGCTCGCGACGTTGAGAAGGCCAACGAGGACGTCAAGGCCTACATGTCCGGCAAATCCCAGGGCCACCCCGACGAGATCGCCCAAGCCACTACCCGCCGCGCCTCCGTCGCCGGTGCGCTCGAGGTGCCCAAGGCCAGCTGGAGGGACTTCGCCAAGTTCTACGGCAAGTGGAAGAACGGAAAGATCCTCCTCGGCACCGCCGGTTCATGGTTTATGCTCGACGTCGCCTTCTACGTAAGCCCCACCCCCTCCCCCTCCTCCCCCATATCACACTAACCCCCCCCCCCCCCACAGGGCCTCGGCCTCAACTCCTCCACCGTCCTCACCGCCATCGGCTACGCCAAGGGCAAAACCGTGTACAAGACCCTGTACAACCTCGCTGCCGGCAACGCCATCCTGACCTGCGCCGGCGCGATCCCCGGCTACTGGCTGACCGTCGCCACCGTCGACACCATCGGCCGCAAGCCCATCCAGCTCGTCGGCTTCTGCATCCTCACCATCCTCTTCATCGTGTGGGGCTTCGCGTACAACCACCTCTCGGACCACGCCATGCTCGCGCTCTACGTGCTGGTCCAGCTCTTCTTCAACTGGGGGCCCAACGCCACCACCTTCATCACGCCCGGCGAATGCTTCCCGACGCGCTACCGCAGCACGTCGCACGGGATTAGCGCCGCGAGCGGCAAGATCGGGAGTATTATCGCGCAGGCGGCGATTGCGCCGCTGAGGACTAGGGGCGCGACCAAGACGAATGCGAATCCGTGGCAGAATCATGTTATGCAGATTTATTCGCTGTTTATGTTTTTAGGGATTTTCACGACGCTGCTGACGCCGGAGACGAAGCGCGTCACGCTGGAGAAGCTGGCGGGGGAGTATGACTTGGGCGGGGAGAGTATGACGGGCGAGGAGCATGCGGTGCCGGTGGGCAAGACGGGGAGTGAGAGTGAGGCCGGGGCAGAGGCGCCGGAGAAGGCGGTGCAGACTGTCTAAATTCAGGTGAAGTGGAGTGGAGGGACTAAGGAGAGTTTTTTTTTTTTTGGGGGGGGGGGGGGGGGGGGGGGGGGGGGGGTGGGGTTATGATGTGGCTAGATCGATACCATCTCTCTCTGTCTCTGTTGTCTCGGTTGCATGGGGTTGCAGGAAGGCGGAATCCTATACATACCTTTAATTCGTCAGTTCACTGTAAATTATCACCACTGTTCTTTGCCTTGAGTAATCACGTGGTCTATTTATTCCCTTTCCCTGCAAGTAATACCACCCAGGCACGAACACCGACGCACCGACATCACCCTGTCGCCTCTAGCGCCGGGTACCTACAAGGGGGTCGCCTGAGCGGGCCAACCGCCCCCCCTCCCCCTCCCCCCTGCAACTTTTGGTGGCATTATAGTCGTATCCATACTCTTTTCGTAGATGATTACTATAACGCCACCAAAAGTTGCAGGGAGGGCGGTTGGCCCGCTCAGGCGACCCCCTTGTACCGTGCGAGAAGATCGCGGCCAGCGGGGTCTGGGTTCCAGATCGAGCTATGTTTGGTCGATAACTACTAGGACGACATCACAAGCGTGCAGACCTGGGATGCGTTTATTTAGATAGTCCGCGAGGAGTTTTGAGGGAGGCATTTTGGGCCCTGCAGAGGTGGCGTAAGATAACTACAGAAGGTCCGAGGCGGGGTGTAACGGGTCTAGTGAGAGGTAGCTGGGGAGGGTTAGAGGTTCTATGTTGGACGGGGTGGTAGACATGTAACTGACTGGGATGAGGGTGGTAGCGATACTTGTAGGGGTAGTGCTGGGAGTTGTGAGGTGGGTGGAGGTAGCGAGGGGGATGAAGCGGGCAACAGAGATGCGTTGAGGGGGTTGGGTGGGTGCTGGTTAAGTTTGGGTGGTGTCGCATGTAGGGGATTCTAGTACCAACACATTTTGGGCACTGGCTGTGGTACCGCGACAGGTGTTGGAAACTATAAATATGGAGTAGAGTTCAATGCAATGGAACTTAGACTGCCTTTTGGGGGTGTCGAGAGCGTAAGAGTGAAGGTTGAAGCCAGGGGCGTGGTATATCCGTCTCTTGGTAATCTATTACAAGCACGTCCTAGGTAGATGTGTTGGTCTAAACGATCGAAAAGTCCCTTTTTGGCATCGCCTGCTTTTCCCACACCTCCTTAAACCACCTACCCCGCTGACCAACCGTATGCCCTTCAAATTTCGTCACACCAAATCTTCCATATGTATTCGGACTTGCCTCAATTTCCTTAAGCATCATAAAAATGTCCCGGCACTCACCACCATCCACTTTGCGAGCGATATGCAGAAGCCAGATTCGAGCAAGTGAGCAGATCGAGCAAGCAGGAAACGGATCGAACCAGAGTTCATCCCCGAGTCGTACGTCGGGGTAGAACACAAACTGCCCGTCTTGTGATTCAAGTGCGGGCACTGGAACTTCGCATGCAGCGGCAGGATTCGCGATCGTGACTCGATAATGTAGGCCGAATCTGCGCCTGTCATGGGAGGGCTGCGCTGCCGTGGCGCTTTCGTTGCAAAAGCGACGAACAAAACAGGGTAGTAATGCCGATTTGAGTGTGAGACGGCCCGTTCCAGGTACGAGTTGCCCGAGGTCGTTACCTCCCTCGGTTTTGCAGTCGACGGTCTGTATGGATTCGCCAAGCATTGTCCTCCACGGGCTGCTGAGGTTTGGTTTGAGAAAGAAGATTTCCTGGCCAGGGGATATTGAGGCCCACGACCAGGATGGAGCCGTCCAAGCAGCCCGTGAGAACTTGCGCTTGGTCTCGATGTACCAGAGGAGCTCGATGGACAGGGATTTCTTCCACATCCCCGCAAGGTACTCGTCTCCGGTCAATTCAGATATGACCCTGGCACATCCTGAAATGGCCGGGAGTATGTCGTTCGCCTTGGTGAGGTGCAGAAGCGTATAGCTTGAAACCATGGAACGCCACTCTAGAGATAAATCGCCCCTGGGGACGGAGACTTTTGCCATTAGAAGCCGATGTCTCAAGTTGGCCTCTCGTTTTCCCATTCCGTTTATTACGTGTGGAGAGAGAGACGAGTTTCCACATTCACACGTCTTAGACTCCAGGCATTCAAAGGCCAGCTCTCCGTAGTTGCAGTAGAGAATGCGTCTCGACATTAGACGCTCCTGCAAGACCCAGCCTCTTTGAAATAACGGGAATCGTTTCTTGACCTCTGCTTCGTCATTCACAGTGCCCATAGCATCGCACATGCGCGCACCAACCAACAGTAATCGTCCAGTGTTGTCATCAAGAGACATGCAAATGTCCGCATTCGTACTCGAAAAACATCCACCAGTAGAATCCGCGGAGGAGGCTGCAGCAATAGTCAGGTAGGAGTATCGGTAGATATCCGCCATCTTCGCGGACTCAACTTCCCAGTCATACTTGTCGTCCTGAATAATACAGACAGAATCAATCCAGATGTATTGTATATCTAGTCTCCTCGTTATAGTAATAGCGTCTTGGAAATTCCTCGGGAGTGCGCCATAATCGAGGAAATCCATAGCTTTTCCGACAGTATCGATTGTTGTGCAGCACGTGATGGGTGTTTTCCCCCAGCAGTGACTCAGGCAAACATACTTTCCAGACTGTCCGGGCATGGTGCGAATGAGTTTAACTCCCGAAATGCTCCCTCTCGGAATCTGTGTCACGTCTATAAGACGAGAAGGAAGGCGGCTTGCGTTATTGTTATTGCAGGTTTCGTGAGTCGCGTCGCATACCTCTAGCCATTTCCGAAGCCGGCCCATTGACACATCCGAGTTTGTGGTTCCAGATAAAAATTCTGAAATACGCATATGCTCAATTTGTAGCCCAAAATCTACCATCAATTAACGGAAACAACACAGACGTTCGAATCGGGGAACCTACTTCGAGGGGAGAACAGCTGTATGTGCTGTATACCGGCGGTATCATTGTTTGCCATTCGCTTGCTCAAAACGAATACGGAAGACAAGTGGTAGAACGAGGTATCGGCATTGTGCTGGTCGTGAGGGCCAATCAGGGAAACTTGCTCAAGTATCTGCCGTAGCACGTTGCAAGAGCGACAGCCGCTCTTAATCGAGTCCGCTAGTTCGGCTAAGGAGAAATATCGCTGGAGAGCCTCCTTGTAAGACCGCCTGATCGCTTTCTTCTTCTTGTAATCCCCTGAATTTCCAAGTGCCGGCTGGATTGAAAGTGCAGACTGGAGCTCTCTGAGTGCGTTGCAGCTTAGTAGACAGCCCGAAGTGTCAAAAATAGCAAAGAAACTTTCCACTCGGGTTTCACTGCTCCTGCACAATGAGGTCGCCTTCGACAAGTCATACACCGATACAACCATTCTTTAAGACAGTCGCCAGGCCGGAGCTAAGGCAAACAAATAGGGAAGGGGTGCATAGCAAGGTATCTAGCCGCGCGTATGAGTACGGAGTTGCGTTGTTGGAACTTCAGGTTTTGCGCGGGTCTAGAGAAACACGCTCCAATGATTTTGGCGGTGGCTGCGGAGCCTAAAAAGCTGCTTATATCTTGTTCCGAAGTCTTGATGGTTGATGCTGAGTGCAAGAGGCTGAGGCAGCAGAGGCGCAAAGGAATCGAAGTTACAAGGGGCGCGGCGAAGTGCATATTCCGGTTACGTAAGCATCTCACCCAAATCTTAAAAGTTGCTTCGCACCACCCAGTATCGGTTAATAAATTTTTTTTCTTCGATAATTATCACTAAGATACACAGACAGATACATCTACCCACCTGGATCGTAATCGATGGTTGTAGTTGTTGTGGTATAGCTCCTCCAATGTACCAAAAACTGGTGGTTTTGATGTTCGTCGCCTCGCGTACGTTAGCTGGTGTCCGGAATATGCACTTGGCCGCGCCCCTTGTACTCTATTGCGCTAGTAGAATATCGAACCGGGGCTAGCCCCTGAAATCTTGGCGTCCCAACATCAACCTCAGCCTCGCCTAACTTCTCCTCCTTCATCCTCTCCAAGATACACCAGTAGAATCACGCCCACACAATGCATCAAGAATAGCATGGATTTCTCAAAACATTGACGACTTTCATCCAGCGGTGATATTAAACCCCCCGCACCCTCCATATTCGAAGGCGGAACGCATCCCCTGAAAACGCGTGTATCATGACGTTGGCTCCTCTCGGTCTCTTTCCTGCTGCTATTCTAGCTGTTCTGTGCGACTGAGATCAAACGGCGACGGTATGGCAGGGCGATGAAAGTAGTCCAGGTACTCGGTGCGTACCAAATTGCTTGGGGGCCGTGACGCTTCAAGGTCCCGGTCGCCTGCGATTGGTCAGTCTTGTGCAGCCCTTGATACATTATCTTTCATCTTGCAGAACAGACCTGGGGACAGAAATTGAATGGATGTGTCATGGAATAGAAAATTAGGACTGCTTACCCCGAATTCAATGCCTTCTCCGAACGATGGCGATAAAGCAGCCGCATATTGAGTGCTTGAACCTTATCCCTGCGCCGGTAACGAGCAAGGTCAAGACCCCGAAGACAACAGCCAACATCTCTTCCTTAGACATAGTTGAATCTCGTATTGTCTATGCGGCTAATATCGCACGGTTTTAGCCTCTAGAGAGTCGTGAAGCAAGAGTCGCGGCCGTCTTATTTCCCTCAGCGCCTCTACTACAATGCAGGCGGATGTTAGTGGGGGCGGATAAGCTGAGGTCGCCGAGGAACCACGTGTTATGAACTGCCCATTCACCTAAAGATCACACCAAGGGTCTTCGAGGGGATAGTCCGGACGGTTAGGTTTCTACTCACCTGCTGGTATACTTCGTCACGGACTAGCACGTGACGCGAGGTTCGAGTGTGAATAAGTAGAACGTTGGAAGGGAGCTGGCTTCAGTAGTATTGGAAGTGTGTAAAGATAGTCAAAAAACTTGAGTCGTAAGATTGCCGTTAAGTTCAGTATGCTAGATACATAAACAAGATTGAGTACGAAGGAGAGAAAGACAATAGGGAATCCTCCAGACTCTTATAGCTTTCCGCCCTTCATACAATTTGGTCCTGATCTCTCTACTCTGTCCTTGCCAAGCGAGATCAGTAAGATCACCCACGTGACCCCTGGTCACGTGTGTCCTGTCATGGGTCTTGGTAACTTGGTTCCTGCACCTTGCCCCCGAGGCCCTCTGTTCTGTACAGAGCCTTTCGCGGTTGTTCGTAACATCACGTGGGATGCGCGTATGCTTGCCTTAATCATGCATGCATCAACACTCGGGCTTGCAGGTACGAGAAAGATTTTCCAATCATTAATTCTCGTGTATTAGCACACCGCGATGGCTTACATGTTTTTGTAGAGCCGCGTCTTCCAACACGCAAGCTTACCATTGGTCAGCCCCGCTTTGAGCGACTGCAGCTTATCTGACTAACCTGGGACTATGAAAAGCAGTGATTTTAGGCGGACACTCCGGACGGTTTTGCATGCGCTTTCATAAAGATTAGTGTTCCCAATACTGCGGTTAAATGCGCACTTGACCAATAGAAACCACCTCTTTAAACATCGTAGCTGAAGTATCCCTAACTACCCAAAACGAAGGCTTCAATACACTGTGTATGCTAAGACGTTATGTGCCGTAAATCACAACATCGTTCTTAAATGTTGTTTGAGAAGACAGCCTCTTAATTCAAAATACCCTCCATAAGGTAAGTCTCAGAGTAGAACCTTTAGCATTTAGTTCCACCTGACACCAAATTAAGTCTAGTTATATTGATTGACCGCGCAGCACAGTGTCATTTGCATCCGTTGGCCGAAAAATTGCGCGTAGCAAGTAGCTCAGTAATACCACTTTCCTGGCGAACCATTTCTACAAAGCAAAGAAGAGGTGGAGCTTTCTGCGACTCTGCTCTGCTGCCCTGCGACGACGCCGCACCGTCGTGAGGTGTTCCTGCGGAGTAAGCTCGGGTATGGATTGTGGCTTTAGCGGCGGATTCTCGCTCCTTGGTTTGGCCCCTCGTCCAAACAGGCGACCAGAGACTGCTATCTAGCGCCAAGGACCAGCAGCACGTGACTTCATCAGAGACTGATGGAAGCAGCACACAACCTCTTTAATATTGCCAGCATGCTTCGTTAAGTGACGCACTCAGATTCCTATCTTATATCCTTCTTTTGTAGTTCTCTCTTTGCTGAGCTTGCGCAAGTAACTTTCCTAAGAGTATGGCAGTGATTAGCAGACTTGGCAGGATGTTGAGCACGCTCTTGCCAGGTGGTCAGTGATTTAGTAATGCATTTACGAGAAGAGCGGGCTCAGGTTATGAGTGAAGCAGTTGCTACGGCATGTGCCTAGGGGAAGACAGAAGTAATAAGGTTCGGACAGATCTCCAGGGTGTTGGGTTTGTTCCCAAATCGAACGATGGAAGAGCTGAGGTACACCATTGGACTCAGGTTGAAATTGGCTCTGAACTCTGATTTCTATAGGTGTCTAGCTCGTTGTTTATATACTAGGAGAAGGAAGGGGGGCCACCCCCGGGAGCTTAACGTGGCAGCTCTCTTGATACGTTGCTGGTGACATCCTATTACTTAATGCAGTACTAATACCGTGCTGCAGCACTGCTGTTGCACTACCTGTTACTTCCTCCTGTATTAGCATGCTATCCTGATACGTTACTGGCATATAAGTTGTTGATCCTAGGTTGTAGTGCTGCAACTCGAGTATTGGCGCTAAGTCGCAGCGTGTGAACATAGTGACCGGCGTGTTATATTTTAAGTAAGGTAACGTACTCCACAAGCGAGCGGGCCACCCAAGCGAGCGGGCCACCCCATCACCAAAACGCGCTCTGTTGACTTTTAACTATCATGCCTCAACAACACAACGCGCAACTAGTCCAAAGCGAAGGCCTAATATGCCTAGCTATCTCAGCAATCAATAAGAACCAAATTCAAAGCGAGCGACAAGCTGCAACAACCTTCGAAGTCCCTAGAAGCACGCTTCAACGACGACGCGCCGGAACAACCTCCCGACGCGATTGCGAGCCCAATTCAAAGAAGCTTACAAAGCTAGAGGAATCAGTTATTATTCAACATATAATTGACCTGGATTCAAGAGGATTTGCACCGCGGTTAAGCGCTGTACAAGATATGGCCAATAAGCTGCTAGATAAGCGCGGTGCCGGCCAGGTTGTGTCACGGTCTCGGGCGGCAGGATTGCCCTAGCTAGCTCGGGCAGGTAGGTAGAAGTAATAACTGAATTCACTACGTGTTCTATAATGCACGGCAGGCAGGCGGGTTGAATAACAAGACGTAGCTCAAGGAGCTACAAGGAGGCAGGGCGGCGGTCGGCAGGTATACTCCTGCCAAGGCTCGCATAGGCCCTTGCAACAAGGCCTCTCGCCGGGTCCTAACATCACGTGTTACGCTGTGCAGCAAGCTTCACCGTTCAAGCCGTGACAGTACTCCCCTCCTTACGGCCGAACTCCGTTGAGGCCTAAGGACCGGGCTTTTCAGGGTAACGGCGGTGGAACGACCGGATAGCTTCCTCGGCATGTTCCAGATAGTCAGCGGGCTCTTCTGTGACTTCGTTGTATCCGGTCCACTTCACCGTGTACTTCAGGCGGGGGCGGCCACAACCGCGACGCTCCCATCGAGAGTCGACAACTTCCTCGACTTCCCACTCCTCCAAGCCTTCGACTTCAACTGGCGGCGGTGGTTCTTGACGCTGGCCGGGCAGCGGATCATTCGCGGCAGGTCTTAGTAAACTAACGTGGAAGATGTTGTGGTTGCGCATGCTCTCCGGTAAGGTTAGGCAGTATACGTAAGGGCTGACGACCTTCTCTATGCGGAACGGTCTAAGATTCTTCCAATCTAGCTTCTTCTAGGGGCGGAGGGTTTTAATATTCTTAGCATTTAACTATACTAAGTTGTTAACTTAATAGTTATAAGCAGGGCAACAGTTATAGTTTATATTATCCTTATATTAGGTATAGAAGGCAGTAAGTTTAGACTTTAGATATTCCAGAATCTCTTCTATATACTTAGCAAAGCGCTTAGTATTTCTAGCAGGCGGGCGGGTTAACAGTTTAACCGGCTTAAAACCTAGATATAGGTAGAAGCCGTAGTTTATAAAAAAGGGGGAGATATAAGTGCTTTTAGAATTTATAGTATTAATTAACAGTTTAGCTAAAAGCAGCTATTTAGCCTAGTTATCCTATAAATAGGATATATATGCCCGTAAGTACTATTCTAGGATAGTATTAGCTCTCTTAGTCTAGCTATTAGTTTCGAGGTAGTATATAGTTAATAGTAGGCAGTTAATTCTTAGGCGGCTAGTTAGGTATCTCTAGAATTTAGCTATAAACTAGGGCCTTTAGTTAAATATAATAGAGGCAGGCAGGCTGTATAGTTTCTAAATATTTTTTAGGAAAAGTTTTATAATATCTTCCGCGTTGCAGGTCCCTTTATAGGTAAGAAAGTATTTTATTTTAGTTAGGCGGTCTACTATAATAAGGATTATATTATACTTTCCGCTATATAGCAGGTGCGTAATAAAATCTATTAATATATTACGCTAGGCTTTTTTAGAAATAGGCAGCGGCTTTAGAATACCCTAATAGGCTTTTTATAATAAAGTAGTTCTTTTATATATTTAGCAGTTCCTAACCTAATAGTCTATATAAAGTAGTATTCCGGGCTAGTAGTAACTGCAGGCTATTAGGCTATATATTTTAGATTTTCTAGGGTAGCTAGTAATAGCGTTCCTATAGTATATGCGCAGAAGTTCTACCTTTAGTTTATTATAGTTAGGTATATATAGGCAGTTCTAATAGTATAGGTATCTACCTTTTTTTTAGTATTTAGCTAATATAAGCTTTATATAATAGCAGTGTCCTTTTTTTAAGGCTTTTAGAACTAATAGCAGAATAGGGTCTTTTTTATATACTATTCTTAGCAGGGCGGCAATTATAGAGGGTAGTTCTATATTTCCCTTAGTCTTTTATTTATCTTATAGGGTGTTGTCTAGAAAAGTTAGTAATAAGCCTTTTTACTAGGTTTTTATAGGTGCTAGAGCTATTATTTTAGCTTTATTTTTAAAGGTTATTTTCCTTATAGTTTTCTTTTCTATTTTATTTTTAAAGTTTAATCTCTTTAGAATTATCTGGCTCTAGTAGCAGAGATATTTATCCCCTTTTTTAGGCAGGTTCTCTAACCTTCTAGTTAGAGAATTAGGCTTTACCTTAAGTTTTCCGGGTTAATACGTGATTTTAAAGTTAAAATAGGACAGGAATTTAGACCAGCAGGCCTGGCGGCGGTTTAGTAGTTTTATTATTATAAAGTACTTTAGATTATAGTAGTTAGTAATAACTTTAATAGGTAAGGCAGCGCTTTTAAGCTCTAGTTTCTATTCTTTAAAGTATTAAATAATAGTAAGCAGTTCCTTATTATATATCTTATAGTTATATTCTATAACTAAGTGCTTTTTTAAGAAAAATACAACAGGGCGCAGGATTCTGTCGTCTTTGTACTATAATAAGACGCTAGCTAAAATATAATTAGATATATCCGTTTTTATAATAATAGGCTTATTCTAGTTAAATAGTACTAAAATAGGTGCAGAGGTAAAGGCTTTTTTTAATTTAGTAAAAGCTTTCTAACAGGTAGTATTCTATATAAAAGTAATACCCTTTTTTATTAGGCGTACTAGCGGAGTAATAATTTTTAAGAAGTCTTTAATAAATCGGCGGTAGAAGTTTCTAAATCCTATAAAAGCTTATATATTAGTTAGGCAAGTTAGTATCTTCTAGTTTATTACGGCTTTAATTTTCTCTAGGTCTATTTATAGGCCGTTAGCTCCTATAATAATGCCTAGAAATATTGTTTTTTTAGTAAAAAACTTATATTTCTTAATTTTTATATAGAGTCCTGCTTTTTATAGTAGTTTTAGTATAGTATAGATATACTCTAGGTGTTTAGTTCGGTTCCGGCTATAAATTAGAATATTATCTAGGTAAGCAGTATAGAAAATATTAAAATGCTCTTGCAGAGTATTATTTATAAATTATTAGAACGTTACAGGGGCTCTAGTAAGCCTAAATAGTATTACTAAGGTTTTAAACAGTTCTAGTCGGGTTTGGAATATAGTAAGCTATTTTTAACCCTTTTTTATATATAGGTTATTAAAGGCAGATATAATATTAATCTTTATAAAGTACTTTATCCTTTTTAGGTTACTTAAGGTTTTCTTTATTAATAGTAGCAGGTAGCGGTTCTTAACTATTATAGTATTTAGCGCTCGGTAGTTAATATAGAAGCGGAGGCCTTTTCTAGGCTTTTTTATAAATAATACAGGTAACGCAGTAGGCGAAGAGCTAGGGCGGATAAATCCTTTTTTTAGATTATCTGCTACCTATTCTTTTAGAGCTATTAGCTTATTATAGAATATTAGGTATAAGGGTTTAAAAAAGGGTGTTTTTCCTTTTTCTAACTTAATTTTATAGTTATATAGGCGGTGCAGTAGCAGGTAGTTAGCATTTTTAGGCGAAAAAATATTAGTAAACTTTTATAGTTTTTTAGGCAGGCGGTTTAGGTTAAAGCCCTTTTTTTTAGATAGAATATAGTTAATATTATCTAGTAATATAGAAAAGAGTTTATATCCTCTTTATAGGTAGGCGCTATATACGTGTAAGGAAACGGGTGCTATATTCTTCTTTTCTAGGTTTTTTAGTGCAGGCAGCAGGTACTCTAGGCGGTTTTTTTTTAGAATATTAGCAATTCCTTATACACGCGTTGCTTTTTACAGTATATTATAGTATTTATAATAGTACTAGCTTATAAACTATAGTATATTACAGGACTAGTCTAGTATAGGATTATACAGGCGTAGCCACAGGATTCCTAGAATAATTAGGTAATAACTTAGTTTAGTTACTCCTATTTAAACGGTCTCTAAATATTTATTTATTTATAATTAAACCTAAACAGTATAGGTTACTTTACCCGCTTCGGAATTACCTCTATCGGCTAGTTCTAGGTAAAAAGGGTACTTAAGCGGAATTATTAGAATATAGTAATACTTTACCTAGTCTTTATTAACTAGTACTTTCCCTTTACAGCTACTATTAATTATACTATATACTAGAATACTCTGGCCCTAGTATTCTAAACGTGCAGGTATAATTAACAGGTTAGCTCTTATAACCTGTTCCTTTTTAATAGTTATCCCTTAGATAGCAGCAGCGGATACTTATATAGTGCGCAGTATATAAGCCTGGCTATAACCTATATTAGGCTTAATCCTTTTATTAAAGTAGAAAATAGGGGAGAAGCGGGTTTTAGTAGTATTTAGGTTCTATATTTAGTAGAGGGCGGTAAGGGGCTCTAGAAAAACGCGTTTTTATAAATAGAGCAGGAGCGGATAGAGCGTTTATTAGGCTAAGGGCAGTTATAGATAAAGTATTTCTTAGATCTATAATAGTAATATTCCTTCTTTTTATATTAAGTTAAGCGACCTTTTAAAAGATTTATTAGGTCTCCGGAGACTTCTATAATTTTTATAGCGCCGGACGCTCTTAGTAATAACTAGGGTATAGCAGTTTATATTCCTATAGAAACGGGTGTTTCCTAATAGGTTTAATTTATATTAGCGTATATTTTCGGGGTTGCAGTAGTAGATACTTTATATTATTTGCGGCGGTTATTTAGGTTTTAAAGGAACTTTATAAATATATAGTATTTTCTACTAG